AAATAATTATATATACATACATACTATATATATTATTGTAATAATCAACAAGTCAGTGTATGCCTAGTACAGTTCCTGATTTTAGAGCATTTGTTTCACTTCTTTTCAAAGGCTCTATTGTCCTCTTCTAATACTTCCCACATGCAATGCAGCAAAATAGAGGAATCTGCTCAAATATGGCATTTTTGTTCATGTTGTCTTCCTACCAGGAGTGCAGCTGTTTCTTCTGTTATCACTTCCAGGTGGTTAGTACAGGCTTTCCTGAATCTCTTGCACGATTTCCTTTTACTCCAGTGGACTGCCCAGAACGACTTCGCAAATCACGATCAGGCCCATCACTTTGCGCCATCTCTTCATCATATCTGAAAAGAAGATAACCTGTTCAGTGCCTTGTCCTGCTATTCACTATACAAACAAGAGTGGGTCCTCTATATTCTATTTTGCCTAATATCTAGCACTGAAATTTAATACAAGCTGTTCTACACACAGGTTTACACATGCATAGTTTGATATTCAGCTGTTATTTAAGGAAATATGCTACCATATGATGTTACAATACAGATCAACTGAAATATCTTCAGCTACTTTCTGAAAGAAACATGATTCTGTTTCTGTTTTCTGGCAGCTTTGGTTAAACTCCTGAGTTTGTGAAATTTTGTGCTTGTGAAATTTCCCATGTACTTCTGTATTTCTCCTCACTATGTAGGTCTGTGGTTAAGCGGGAACATCAGACTGCTGGCAGTTTAATAAAGAGTTAAGCTATTGCTTCAAACAGAGGATTGTTAGCTGCAGTGTTAAAAAACTCCACTGTTGCATCAGAGAGCGAGTACGGAAACAATGAGGTGAACAAACAACTGTGTGCTTAAATTAAATGCATTTGATGACGTGTACTTTGTTAACCACTTAACCACAGTGACAAGTAGTTCTTTAAATATCTAAGCCCATTATGGCCTCAGATAACCTCAGTATATACTTACCTCTCAGCTGCTATGCAAATTCCAAGCAGAAATTGGCTATAGGTGCATAATTATCAAAACATAATACTACAATATTTTGTAGAACAGTCATACTATTGTATAGGTATTCGCAGCTACCATGTATATAACATTCATTCAAACTTAACTCATAATTCAGCCGACACTTATATTTAATTGTCTTTACTAGTATATAGAAAGAGTATTTAAGATCAGTATGAACCAGTGGATCAGCTATGTATATAACCACAGTCCTGACATACTGAACAATTGCACCACTAATGCTAGAGAACCTATCTGAACATTTTCTCCAAAAATATTAGAAACTGTATCATCAATATGGCATTTAAAATCAGTGTTCCTCTGCATAAGACCAATCAATCCTAGATAAATCCTTCAGACACTCCAATATAAAGATTGCTGTCTCCTTAATTTCTTTCTTTGTAATACAGATTGGGGAATTTAAAAAAATATCTGACAACTCATTATTATTACATCCATGAATTACAGGAGTCAAGAGGCATCGTTTCTATGAACTGAGAGAGAATTTGTATCAAATAGCTATTACATCTATTTAACTACCATCTATATATTACACTCAAGACAATTAAAGATCTACACATGTAGAAGACAAGCATTCTCTTTGCCTGTATCCCTCAAATCTCAGCTGGAAGCTGAGAAGGTGCAGGTAGGGGCTTATCAGACAAGTAACATTCCCTCCGGAGATGAGGCGAGGCAACTCTGCTTTAATGCATGCCCACCTCCAATGTTGCTATTGCAGCTCCAAAAAACCGAAGTGGTACTTTGTGCCCATTTTTCACATCAGAATGAAATTCACCTTATTTATCTCCGTGGTCTACATTACACATTAAAAAAGCAAGGTGACTGATAAAACTTACAAGACTTCATAATTGCCAAGAACTTCTTTTGGTGGAGATTTATTCCATTTACAGTCTGGAATTTCCCCATTAGGGACAGCAATGTTAAGTGTGTCATTAATAAGATTATACTTCAAGATGCGATCATTAGCAGTACTGGAAGTAAGAGAAGGAGAAGCATTAACCTACAGAAGAAAAAAAAAAAAAGTCAGCATCAAATTTTTGAGTGGTATATAGTTCTCCAAACAGCATGTGTGATGACTGTATGTACTATTTGGGAAATTAAGACTCAGCGTCTCAAAGCATCTTTCAGTTCCTCAGACACTGGAAGGAATCCCCCACTGGGCATTTTTCTTTTTACTTAGAAACAACAGCACCACACTACTAAGTGTCTGCAGTGTCAGCCTGAAGATTTTGTGTTGAGACGTCTGATTCACCAGGGTGAATCAGACAAGACATAGATTTTTGTTTAATTTTCTAAGCTTACATGGATACAAACCCATAAATTTCAGTGCTTACAATTTGCCTGGTTCACTCCAACAGCTGTTATATACAGGAATCTGAGGGTTTCTTCTAGGTTTTTATTTATGTTCTTAATCTTGAGTTCTCCACTGCTAAATTGTGAGCTAGAGAAACAAGTATGTGCTCTCTATTTAAAGCACTACATTGCATCTTGTTTTAATAAAAACTGCAGTTCATTTAACATATCTCTTATGTTCCACATTTATTATAGAGAAGTGGTATCAGAATAATAAACAGGTTTTTTGTTCGTTTGTTTTCAAGAAAGTCCATTTACCTTTGATCTTTCTCTTTCAATTAGATTGAGAAGGAAGAGGGTTGGGTAAAATTTATGTTGTTGAACATACAGATCCAAATTTAACATACGAAATTTATGTGAGGAAAAAAAAAGCCTTCCAAATATCCCAATTATCCTTTGTGTGCTCCTTTTCTTTACTCTCAACCTGCAACATTAAGGCCATGACAGCATTTAAAACTTGAGTTTGATCTTACGCTCCATTGAACTGATGCCAATTTTCCAGCTACTCATACAGTATCTAATAGAGCTGCTAACATTCAGACTGCCTCTGAAGTCCAATTGTGTGGATGCACTGGATTTAAAAGATGAAACAGAAAGCCACAAACAAATAGAAACACCAAACAAACAGGAAACAAAAGCACATGATAGCTTGGTCATCACATGGCCTATTACTTTCTAACATTTTTGTTAATCCACTTACCTGAGGAGCAAAAGATATTGTTTCAAAAGAGGAAAGACTACATTGAAATCTACTTAGTTTTATTCTGTAAAATGAGAAGGAAGTTTTTTTTCCCTGTCTTTTATGTAACTTTACCTCAATTAGCCATGGTTTAAGCTTGTCATCAATGATAATGTCATATCCATAACACTCAAAGCAGTGTTTATCATTATTCATTACAGGCTATTAAAAAAAAAAAAAGACAACAACATGTATTAAAATCAACATTTTGGTAAGTAACCTAATTATACACTTTGGTTGCTAAAAATCACATACGATTACATTATGATTCTTCTACAACAGTTTTCAGTGTTGTAACTCTAATAGAAGCTTGCTAACTAGTAAATTCAGGATTGCCTCTTTTTTCCCAAGCTGTAAGTAAATATTTCAATATTAATGATTGCATTAATGCCAAGTACTAAGTGACATTAATTTTCCATTATGTTTCCAGTGTGAAAATAAAAGTGTTCTCATATTTTGCAAAAGTAATAACAATATTTAAAGCCTGCATGCATCAAGAGAAATCGGGAAGTTTTATAATTTACATAACACAGCTTCACATAATTGTGAATTTTTTAAACTTCAGAAAAAGGAGACTTATTCAAAGACATTTCTTTTATTCTGCTGCTGTAACTATGCAAAAATTTGAGGTCAAACAATTACCAGATACATTTTAAAATTATAATTAGTTCAAGTCAACTATGATCGTGAAAATCAAGAGAGATCAAGGACCAAGTTGTGCTTAGATGCACATCCTCTAAAGAATGAGCAGTTTTCCAGCATCCGCTAAACATTTGCAGTATACATGGTAAGACTTTGTTTCTATGCAGATCTCATCAGATCTTTTAAAGAAACCTTTGTAACAGGTTAGTGAAATGCTTTCCCCTAGACTAAAAATGAAAGCTTTTCAGTTCTTCAGGGAGTGAAAGGCGAAAGGAGGAACAAGCATATCTCATTACATTTGCCATTATCAGAAAGACAGAGCACCAAAACATTTCATGTTCAATAATTCTCAAAACTTTTTCTCTTCTAAGGTTCTGCTAACATTTGGATTAAATCCCTTTTCTTCTCACACCTGGTTTCAAATATGATTGCATAGCAGAGGCTGAGTTGAGCCATGCTTCCTCACCTCCCACTGATATGAGCTTCATGACCTTGTCCCTCTTTCTTGTGCTGATTCTGGTGTTCAGCTGGTCCTTCAGTGAGGTGATTCAGCTTATTATGCTGGCAGAATACTAACCCATCAATAAAGCAAGACAGTAATTGTCAGTTGGGTGAGTGAGCTGATTCAGCTCACGATGGTGCCAGGACCAAGCCAAAAGAGATGACAGGACCATGCACTTGGGAACAGGCCCATCCTTGGCACCAGCAAGCTCTTCAATTACCCTAGCTACCCACGGAGTGATACCTGCTCTCTAATGCAATCATAGGATATTACCCAAACACTAGGAAGTTACTCAAGCAGAGGATTGGTTACTACTTCTTTCTTTCTTTCTTTTTTTTTTTTTTAAATAAGAGTTCACGATAACTACATGTATAAAAGAGGTGAAAGTAAGTTATGTAACTCTGCTGAACTAATAGCCTTACGTTTTCTTTGGTAAGTTCTCCTCCAGAGCTATTTTTTCTTTGACACATTTGTTATTGCTGAAATGATGTCATGTGCCTTGGCAGAGCTTAATACTATTCACAAGGGCAGTATCAAGTCACATTAAATAGTTCACAGAGCCCTCAAGGAAAGAGATTCATTCACTTCTTCAGCATGCACAGATAGCTTACCCACCCACCCAAGATTCAAGTTCACTCAGCTCAGAGAAATCAACAGATAACAGAATTGCAGAAAGCAGCATCAACACCATCACTCAAATAGCAGGAAATAGATTTTAGGGGTTTTGATGGCAAACTCACTTTCATGGTTATGAGAAGCCTGCATCCGTAATGCTATCGCTGGCAGCAATCCAGGAACAGTACTCACCGCAACAGCCTTCAGTGACTGCACAATTATCCAGTGAATTTCATCAAATAATTTGTTTGTGACTTCCTTTCCACGGGTGCTCTCCAGATACAGGCGTAAGTTACTCACTGTCCACTTGCCTCCATGGATATGATTGTAATCATCCTGAAGAGATAAAGAGTTAAATCAGTCTAAAATTTTGAAGTTGTTCAGCAGTTTTGTTTCATTCACCAAAAAGACCACTTATACTTACACACAAGTATTGCTCTAAAAACAAGCTCAGCAAATTGTTTTTACTCTATTTTACAGCTTTATTAAGACTTCAGCTTTACTTTGAACTGCCCTCTATACAAACCACTGGTTTTCTTATAGCTGTATGTGTTTATATCACACATTGCAAATCAAGTAATAAATCTTTCTTAGAAGAAAAAAAACAACTGGTACTTTGACAGTTTTATAGTAAAACATAATTTATGATTTGGAGATATAAGTTTTAAAATGTGAAAGGAAAGACTGAACTTTTTCCTCTGGGGATAAGGTAGAAATAATTAAGTAAGCAATAGCTAAATTTCACTGAAGTTAGCTGTTTTAAAATGCAGCACTTGAAAGCACTTGTCTGTTTGTTTATTTAAAACGTGACTTGTCTGTTTCCTGAAAGGCATCTTTAATGGTGCTACTGACAACAGTTACATTATAGAAGACAGTGAAATGACACCTGAATTATTTTTAAAGGTTAATTTTTCAAGTAATTCAGTGTTCTGATATAGAAAAAACACTTAAGTGCTACTGAAACAGAATTGGGGAAAAAAGGAGGTTACCTTCTATTTGTCTTTTCAGAGTCTGTGAAGGCTCTGCACTATATGCTCTTGAAACAGAAAAACAAGAGCAAACTGAGGGTATTCTTACTGATGGAAAGACACAGGTTCAGCCCTCCAATAACTCCCAGGACAAATGCTTTGTCCCTTTATAACGGTTCTCCTCAGAACATTTCTAAGAATTATGGATTGTATGCCTGCTAAATTACAAAACAAAGAATGCATACTGCAGAAAAAAGTTCTCAGAGGAATGAAATCTGTCATCTTCTGAGACAAGGTCAGAGAAGCCTCTACCTATTTTCAGGCTTTTTCTACAGCTCCCCCCTTAGTAAATTTGGAAAACTGGACTGTACAAATAAAGATCTGAAACATGGTTCTCAGGACTTGCTGGATGGAAAAAATGTCTTGAGACCAGATTCCAGCAAGGGAACAGAGATCAAAGTTTCAACCCTCTTTGCATTTCAGAGCAAGTACTCAAATCAAAATAGATTGCAACTAGGTAGAGCTTTACACAATCACAACTGTTTAATTAAAAATATTAAACCAAAGTAGAATATTGCAGGCTACATAAAAGATCACTAACTGAAAATAACTAAGTGGAAGAATTACTGTTGTTTTGTTTGTATTACACACACAGTGAATAAGGACTTAGAACTGTATTTTCCAAACATTATGATGGGTATACTGACTGACTTTCCTTCCTTCCTTTTACCCTTTCCCTCTCGCCGGTACTGACTTCTACACTTTTCAAATTAGGGATGTTTTCCCATGAGCTTGTAGGGTACACACACACTGGAACTCTGTGGTTCACATGGGGCTTAGAGTAGAGATTAACAGCTAGAACTTAAAGAGTTTTTCCAGACCTCATCATAATTTTGATAAATTACATGACAGTTCAAATGAGGTTGTTCTTCTAAAACTGTACAGCCTAAGTGCCTCCAAAGTTAGACACATTTAAAACAGGATAGAGAGGATGAATAGAGTGGCTTTACATCAAACTTCCCTCACTCCTTTCTGCAAAACTCAACACATATTAGTGGCTTGGAATTTATAAAAAGTTTTTCAAATACTGTAATAATGACTCCACATTTTTAAGCTGCTACTTCTATACCCATTTCTGTTGTCCTTTCTTCTCTTAAAGCAACCTTATCACTAGTTTCACTTCTACTTTTATTTGGGAGAAATCTTGAAGGCCATTCTTTAAATGGGTAGAGAAGATGAAAGGGTGCATAGTAACGGGATAGGCAACATATCTCACACGTCACCTCTTCACTGCTACTGGCGACAGCACCATGGTTTATGCTCTAAGTTGTATGGGATCTGCTTTCACCATAACTAATTCTCAGTGTGCCCTGTCAAACTATAATGTGTTTGACGCAGTTTACAAATCAGCACCTGAGCCAGAAAATGTTAGTACTGAAAAATGCCACATTTTGACACTTACCATGGTTTATAACTACCACGATAAGTGGACATTTATAATTCGCGTTGTTGTTACAGGAATATCCAGATATAAACAGTTCTGCTATGCTGCACATCTTACAGAACAATAATAGACAAGGCACATTTAGCAAGGTTGCAATTTAAGATACGTTAGATGTATCTTGTGTATGAGTGCATGTGTATATACATATGAATATATATGCATGACTGTATGCACATACACGTTTATTTTCCATACTCTTAAAATAAAACCTATGAAATTAGGAAGTGTGACAATAGAGTTTTAATTACTGTAACAGAGGCATGGTTTATAAATCACAGACATCCGCTAAAAAACGCAAAAGGGACAGTCATCATCATCAAGTGGATTCCCCGAAGAAACAAGGCTTGGGCAGCGACAGTGTATGCCCATCTGTTTGTGTCACCCCTGACCCACTAGCCTTTCCTCCCACTGATGAATTTCAGCCTATTTGGACATACAGAAGTGCTGCCAAAACTATCAAGTTTCCACATGTTTTATGAATGTCAATGGCAAATTACAGGACTGTTCTGCAGGCAGAACTCCATCTTTGTCCATTCAAGAGGAAGCCACCAGCTGGCCAGGCAGCAAATATTTATTTCCAAGGTCACAACTGCATATTCCCTTTCTTATCCAGAGAAGGAAGGTGGGGGCGGGAGGGAAACATAGGAAGAAGCTGGAAAGTACTGTGATAAATAAGTGCTGGAAATAGGAAAGCTGAATTAAATGCATGGGAGAGAGAGGGAAGGAGAGATCAGGAAGGCGATCTTAAAGTGCTATTATAAAATACAAATCCACAGGAACCAGGCTTCGTTAATTCCACTGCTCACAGAATCAATTCCTAAGTGAGCATATTAGCATTTAAATGACAGGAGACTTGAAGAAAACCCCTGCTTTCAACTACTGCAAGTGAATACTGGAGATATCGGTGTCTATTACAGAGCTGCAACTCATTATCTTGCATACTTTTGATCTGCAATCTTCTAAAATTTATTTATTTGTAAGTTCAAGTTGAAGTATTTTAATTGCAAGATGATGAAGAATATGACAAATAAAACCTTTTCATTCCAAGTTTTGGGGACAATTTAAGAAAATCAGTCTTGCTACAAAAGAGCGCCTAAGAACTCCGTACACTTACCCCATGTTTCTGAATGGCAACGTTTGTAAGATGTACAAACATGTTATCCAATTCACTTGTACTTGGTGTATATTTTACTGTGCAAAAACGGCAAAATCCAAGTTTATACCTTAAATGCAAAAAGTCATTAAAATGTGTTAAACCCCAATAAGAAATAAGGAAAAGAACATCCTAAGTAAACTTCTTTGTGCAAAAAGCGCAACATTATTTTGACCACATTAAACATTCTCTCAAAACAAAATACAAATAGATACAGTCTTACATGTAACATCTTAGTGGACGATACGTAGATACTAAAACATACAGACGAAGATCAAATTTCTTTCCACCAATAAGTAAGGGATTGTTGATATAGAGAGAAATCACATAGGCTTCTTTGGAAGACTGAGATACAAACCTGAAAAACACAAATCATGTTTCAGAATGTGACAATCGAAACGATATAATCTGATAAGTCTTTTTCTTCTTTAGAAGCAGTCTGATGAAATCTTGCATCTTTTGCCAAGACAATGTATAAAGTTGTAGTGGTTAATAATACACACTTGGTATCAGGCATTATATATATAAAAAAATAAAAATACTACACAGATGACCAAGATCAATCAATCATTTAAACTCAGTTCTGAAGTTAACAGGGTAGCTGACCGAGCCATTCTTTTTTTAGCTCAAAAAGCCAATCTTTTCCTTGGACAGCATTTAGAGCTTGGCACGGTTCAGACAAGCAAAGAATACGTAGTACATTAACTTCATTACTCAAGGTCTTATACTCCTAGAATATTTGTATTTATGCTTGGTGTGTAATTGCAAACCACTGTGAAAAGCTAACCTTCAGATCGTGACATTCTTCA